ACCAGAATCTGGGACACGGCGAAAACAGTGCTGAGAGGACAATTTATTGCAATAAACGCACACATCCCAAAAGAAGAAAGAACCAAAATTAACACATGTTTATCATTAAGTTTTATGACAGGATAGGTTCTCATTAGGCCCAAATGTGAACAAAATGGCAATCTCTACCCTGATAGTCATCAAGCCTTCTCAGTCTGGTGGTACACCCTCCTTGGCATGTGAAAAGCAGGTGTTCTTATCTAATGCTATCCTGATTGGACACTGAAGTCATTCTGTGGGCCAAGGCTCCCCATGGCCCCAGCCCAGCCAGGTTGATCCATGGTGGGCCAATGACCAGCATTGCAGCCCCCAGAGGCCTAGGCACCTCTTGCCAGCCCCCAACTCCAACATGGAGGTCACTGAAACTGGAGAAGTTGATCTGGACTGTGTGTCTAGGCCGATCTGACCAAAAGGTGGTTAAGGTTTGACCACAAAGAGAGGGAGGCCAGCTCAGCAAGCAGCAAGATGGAGTATGATGGACTTAGAGTGATGTGATCTGAGGCAGAACTAGTATAGTAATGAGAATGAGTGGTAGTGCTATTGTCACACTAACCAATCAGGAGGAAGTGAGAATGATACTTTCAAAATCTGAGCTTCCTCATGGGACAAAGGATTCAGTTGGCTCCTCCTGGGCTATGGAGGAAGAAAAAGAAGCCATGATGACTATGTTCCCACCCACATGGCACCACCTGTAGTTTAGTCCTGAAGGGTCTTTCCTGGTGTAGAAAGTCCTGGCAAACACAGGGAACAGGAGGATTATTCTGAGCAGGGACCATGGCCTGGGCAAACACTGTGAAGTGGCAAGGAAAGGGGCCCATTGAGCAAATCAGTGTCGATGAAGGATGTGACACTGGACCATGTCATAAGGGCCAAATCTTGAGTCTGAGGCCAAGATTTTAACCTGAGGGCAATGGCACCATAGGTTCTTAGCAGGAAGTATCTGAATGGTTGAACTCCTTTCACTGTCACCAGCAGAAAGCTCTTAAGACCCACTCTCCAAAGGAATTGTGGTGATGTAAAGGAATAGGGGGAAGAGGGGAATGCCAGGGTGGAGGGGGACATCCAAGAGATGCTGAGTGAAGACACTGTCTGATGCTCACTCTCTCAGAGCAGAGAATAAGCCATAGTTTTGTGAATAAACCATAGTCAACATTTTCCAAATTGAGGTCCAAAGAGGTGACGTTACACAACATGAAAGTGACGAGCTCATTCTCCTAAGCCAGGGGTGCACATCATTGGTGTTTCAGGCCCACCTTCCCCCCCCCCCATGGTCCCTCTTCTGCACTATAGCCCAACTCCACATCTCACTGAAAGAGATCTGCTTCCAGGTAATGGTGCCGTGTGAGGACCTGGAGATCAGAACTGTATGGGCCCATCTGAAGTAGCCTAGTCTTCACCCTCAGCTATTGGGGACCAGGTGCAGCATCTCAAGGTCAGAGACGTTGAAGAAGTGCTTCCTTTGGAAGAAGTTCAAGTCCCTCTATGAGTTGATTGACTTTTAATGCCCCATCACCATCACCAAGAAGCAGCAGATCTTCATGCAGGATGAAGAGCCCCAGCTTGAGGTAAGTGGGCAGGCAGTAAGGCAAGCAGGCATTCAGTGCCTGTCTCAATGCAGAAGGGCAGGACACAGGCTCAGGCTATTCTTCCTCTGCAGCCAGGGCTGCTGGAGGGGGTGAAGTCTGAGCTTCCAGAGCTCACAGGGGGAAAAAAATTGAAGTTCCACTGGGCAAATTGTGTCTGGCTTGTTCTCAGCTCCCTCTATAGTGTATGGCACACAGTAGGTACTCAATAAGTGTGTATTGAATGAAGTAAGAACTGACACCTTCTGAGCTTATTGATATTTTGCACTGAGCTGGGCTCTGTATTTTGAAAACCTCACTGTGCCCATTGTACAGATGAGGAAACTAAGGATCAGAATGTGGCATGGCATGCGAATAGACTTAGTCCTAGCGTCTTAAGCATCTGGAGCTGGGTGGGGTGTGATCACTTGTGGGTGGGGACCTGGCCAGGCATATCTACCCCATCCATCCTCATAATAACAGCAATTTGCCAGCTGGCCCTGTCATCATGGCCCAAGGACCACCTCCTGCTCTCATTAGGGAGATGACACCAGCCAGCAGGGTAATTAGCTGCAAAAGGCTGTTTGTCTTGGGGGGTGTCAGAAAGACCTGAGGCTGGAGGTCAAGACCAGGAAGGGCCTAGAGAGCATGTCATGGCCTAGGCCTTGAGGAAGGGCTGACTTCCACAGAGAAGCTGCCTGTCTACCCCCTCCCTTGCTTCCACACTTTGTCTCTTTACCACCTGTTTCCCCTCTGTCAAATGTGCCAAGACTGTCAAACAGCAAACCATCAGAGACTCCATCCATTAGTGCATCTTCTGCCCCACTGGCATGTTGGCCTCGTCCGAGAAGTAAAATCACTGTGGAGAGTCTTACTGTTGGATCTCATGAATCTCCCTGTAGGAACTCCCAGGGGTCTCTGTCTCCCAGACCTGCCCAATTCTCCATGACATAAACCCACTCTTCCCAGCTCGAGAGTGTGAGAGGGCTGTGATAAAGCTGAGGATTGCCCACACCCACTGCCTTGCTCTGGACTGGGCCCTAGGACCAAGACACATCCTCCTTCCTCGGCAGAGAACCTCTAATTATGCCCTTTGCCAATCCTATTGCCTGTCTGGTGCCCGGTGGAGATCCTGGCAGGGCAGTGGGAGCTGGAGTCACTGTACCTGGACAGAGCTGCGCCTGGAATTCAGAGAGTTCCAGTCCAGCTACCATGAAAGGTGAGGGAACTGAGTCCCACAAAGACTTACCTACGGTGCCGATCCCGAGCACCTGACCACCAGCCCCAGGGTCACAGCCAGCCTTCCAGGAATAGAGTGTTCTCATAGAAGCAGTGCCTATGGGCAGATGTTCTGGGTGGGGGTGGCCAAAGGAGACCCATAGAGCAGCTAGGCCTAGGGTTCATCTCAATTCCCCTTAAGCCCCTCCCCAGCTCATTTCTCTATGTGGAGATTCCAAGAGGGAATTGCTTGGCTGTAGGCTCTGAAAGGGAAGGTAGGTTGGACCTCAGTATGGGGTCCACTGACTCACCCCTAGTCTCCTCATAGTTTTCCTGGACATGCTACGTCCAAGCCCAGTTTGACTTCACGGCCCAGGATCCCTCACTGATCAGCTTCTGCCACTGTGACAATATCGAAGTCCTGGATCACTGGGCCCCCACTAGTGGCGGCGCCAGCTTCTTCCCAGAGAGCTCTGTGCAGCCTGTACACTTGGGACAGGTGGGTGCCCAGCACAGAGCCAGAACATCTGCTCAACAGGCCCACTTCACAGGAGAGATAGAGGTTCTGAGGGCCCCATGAGCCCTGCCACCTGTCTGAATCACACAGGGTTCAGCGGGGAGTGGACTAGATGTGGAGCTCCTGATTTCCAGCTACTTCACCATAATCCCTAGCCCCCCAACACTACCTTATTGACAGGAGGTTCCCAGGATCTCTTACCTGGCTCCCTCCCATTCGCCCCAGTTGTCCCTCCTTCAGAATGACCCGAGTTGAGTGGGTTGAGCCCAAACAAGGCAGCTGCAGAGCTATATACCTCCACTGATTGGTCAGCCCCCAGGTAGTGATGGGCTTCTGGCAGCCCCTCAGCTCTAGGCTACACCTGAACACCTTCACCCCACCCCTACCATGGACACTTGAGAGTTGCTAGAGGCCACATCACTAAGGCCGAGGACACATAGACCATTTTGAGCTTCACCCTTGCCCCACCCCCACACCACTCTCAGCGTGAGCCTTCTAGAATGTGCCCATTGCTCTCCTGCTTAAGATGCCAAGGTAGCCCCCGTCTGCCCTCACCCAGCACCATTTCTCAAACTGACCTGAACTCAGGACACTTGCTTGTGTGTGTGCTTTGGGCACTGTTCTGAGGAACACACCTCAGAACAAAACCTTACCAGCACCATTCCTATCTGGCCTCCTCTCCAGCCTCAGGGCCCACTATCTCCTGCCTGGTCCAGGGTCCCCAGATGCCCAGACCCTCCTGTGGAAACACTCTGTGCTCTGGGCAGGGCTTGCTGCCCTCCCATGTGTTTGAAGCTGCAACGCTGAAGTTCTTCCCTCAGCTCCACACCATCTGCCCATAGCAAGTTAGAGGGACTCCTGAGGGACATGTACCTCCGACTGCCCAACCACCCAGGGGACCTGGACTACAGGAGTTCTGGTTCATTGGAGGAGCTTAGGGAAGCTGGGTAGAAAATACAGCTGGATTGCAGGGGTTCCACAGAGAGGTGCAAGGATTCTAGATATGGGCAGAACTAGCATAAAGGTAGAGATCCCAATGGCATGAGAAAATGGGGAACAGAACCTGCTCCCAGCCTGAGTACCACCTGGAGCAAGGACAACGAGGTAGGTTTATACAGGCTTCCAATACCAGGCTGATGGGAACATGATGAAGAGCCACAGAGGGTTTTTGAGCGAAGGAGGGAGCTAGGGAAGGTGAGAAGGATCCTTTGGCAGCAGGGAGCTGGCGAGTGGGAGGACACAGTTGCTGCAGTTGCATGAGTGGGGCCCTGTATTGTAAGTAGGCACTGTCTCCCTCAGTTTGTCCCAGCTGTTGTCCCAGGGCTGGCTCAAGACCCTTAAAACTCTGAGCTCTGAGTGGGGCTGCTGCTCCTGCCTGGGGTCCAGGTACCAAAGTAAAAACAGTAGAACAAGATACCCATCAGAAATGTCATTTTATTTCCAATTATGTCTACTGTAGTGCTATTTTTGAAAGATCAATTATTTTGCCCCATGTCCCCAATTTTTCAGGGCTCCTGCTTGACTGGCTTGGCAGGCCCCAGGCACTGGTCTGCTGTGTGATATTGAGGGGGCTCAGTCATCATAAGAGAAGGAGGTGGTCCTGCACACCATGGGGCCCCAAACCTTGGAGGTCAGGCTCCCACCTGCCTACTCCAGTGGCTAGGTCAGGCAAAGTAAGCATAGAAGAAGATATTGACACACATGAGGAGAACAGCACTGAAGTTACAGACACAGGCCCAAAAAGCATACTTCTGGGGCATTTGGCCATCACCTGGAGGGGTCAGAGAGGAGGAAGGGATGAAAGAGGAGGACAGGTCCAGACCTGGCACCCCCAGCACTGAGGTGGAAGGGGAAGATGCATCTAGGGTAGGGCACTGACCTGCTTTAGCCTGAGATAGTGTCCACCAGGTAAGGTTCTCAATCTGCAAGAGGAAAAGAAGAATCCAAACAAGGTCAGGGATCAGTGACAGAAAGATGGCAGCTGAGTTCAGAAAGGGACAGGGATCAACACCAGACAGAGTTAGGAGTCAAGGGCTAGAAAAGTCCGAATGGGACCAGAGACAGAAATTGAGCATTTAGGATGAAGGGTCAGGATCCAGTGCAGACATGACCCATGAAAAACTCAAAGGCCAGGGTAGGCAAACTCACCTGTGCTTCCTGAGGGGCTGGAGTCAGTAGGCTCCCAGCCACCACCACAGCACTGCTAAGCACAAAGAGAACGATGGCGAAGTGCAAGTAGTGGATGCTGCCGAGGAGGGCCGGCTGTGTGTTCGGGGCACCGCAGGGTGGGGCTGGGTACAGGAACTCCAGGACCAGCCGCCCAGCACCCATAGCCAGTCCTATCATCAGGCCCCAGAAGGCCCCCTGGGAGAGGGAGGCAGGGCAGGTGGTTCAGGTGAGGAAGACTAGGGTCCTTCCCATGCACCAGTAGGGGAGACATGAATAAGTGAAGGACATGGAAGAGGCTAGGTAGAAGGTCTCATCACTGACTAGACAGGCAACCCACAACCCATCCTGCCATCCCATATCCACCACCTGCTCATTGGCACGCTGCCAGAAGATTCCCAAGACAAAGACTGCGGTCACTGGTGGAGCCAGGGAGCTGGTCACTGATTGCATGTAGATGAAAAGCTGCCCACTATTCGAGCCCTGCAGGATGGGGATCCAGGCTACACTCACACCAATGAGCACCACGATGACCAGCCTAGGCAAGGTGGGAGTGGGCATGAGACTAAGGCTATGGATTGCTTGGAACCTTCTTCCATGTTCTTCACTCTGTCCCCTGCCACTTCGCCCCACCTGGCCAACCTACCCTCCCTGAGGTCTCCCTTAATCGTCTCCTTCAAGGTACCCACTCACCTCCACTGGCCTCTCACAGTTCTCCTAGCACACCTCTCCTCCAGCACTGCAGCCCTTTGAGATCAGCTCATAGCTTGATCCAGGGCCTGGGCTCCCCATTGCACAGTCAAGCCCCCTCCCTTCCTTTCAGGTCCTGCCTGCCCCCTGCTGAACAGAATCCTTCACAGTAGGTTCCACACATCCATTCCTGCAACAAAAACTGCCAGGGCCCAGATGGTGAGGAGCAGCCGAGGTCCTACTAGCACTCAGAGTTGAGGCAAGACAGTCTGTCACCCTGTATTCAGGATGGGGTCAGAGGAAGCCCTCCAATTCATGATGGTTTTCCAGAGGAGGGATCCCCAGAGCCTTGGAGAGCTATGGGACCAGCTAAAGGGATAGGCCCTTAGTCCCATCTGCTCCCCTATCTCCTGAATCAATGGGTATCCTTCTGGGAACGAGACCCTTGGAGCCACACTCACAATGCTGGGGACAGTAGATGCTGTGTATCCTCTGGGGTGGGTCCTCCTCCCCATCCACCCGACTTTCTTCCCTGTCAAGCCCTAAGGTGGAGGAAGGAGGTATCACTTGATTAAGGTTAATTAACCCTTAGCCTGGTGAGCAGGCAGATGGGTGCTGCCCTCTTCTAAGGCCTGAGCAGGCCTCCATTATGACCAATCCTGCCCACCCTCCATATGCATCCACTGTCCAAAGGCAAACTCAGCATCTCCCTGCCAGAACCAGGGGGTCCCTCCATGACTAGCTGTGGCACTCCCATCTTTGTTGTTGTTAAGTGTCATCGAGTCGATTCTGACCCATAGCGACCTTGTCTAGGGTTTCTGAGGAGCCGCTGGTGAGCTTGAACTGCCGACCTTGCAGTTCAAACAGCTTTGCAGTCCTGCATATTAACCCACAGCATCACACCAGGACTTCACTGCCATCTTACTACCATCTAAGATCTCCTTTCCCAACTCAGCCCCAGTCAGGCTGCCACAGAGGTCCCAGAACCAGCCCAGTCCCAAGGCCCTGCATGGTTGGGCCACCACCTGCTGCCCATCTCAGCCCAGCCCTGCCTCTTGCCTCCTTGCTTATGAGTCACCCTGTAGCCACCAGAACAACCAGACCATCTCAAGACTTAATCTCTGTCTGGTTGTCCCCTCTGCCTGGATGCTTCCCCAACTTCTTCACTAAGCACACACACTGCACCAGAATCAGTAACCCCTCCCTTGTCCTCCTGGGCTGTAGCCAAGTTCATAGGGGATCCTGTCAAGGGTGGGGAGCTCTTGGTTATCTCTGGGTCCATGTCTCGTGACTCAGCACTGGGTTCTGGAGAGGCACTGGGCATTGTGTGCTGTCTGAATAACAAGACAGGGTGAGATGGCAGGGGAGGGGATGATGGTACAAAAGGCCTGAGTGTGAAGAGCCCCAGAGGTGAGGTTATCCTTACCTCCCAGACTTCAATGCTCCTCTGGTCTTGACCTGACAAGACCGTCAAGATCACCAGGGTCTTGACGGCCTCCTCCTGGGCTTCTAGGATCTGACCTGCTGTCCGTCTCCAATGCCCATCTCTCTATGGAGCCAGGCTCTGGTCATGCTAGTATCCCACCAGAGAGCAGGTCACACTAGCTTAGGATTCAAGGTTTGAATGGTAGTTCTTTAGGCAGGAGGAGGCTGAGCAGGTACCCCAGTGCTTTAGGAAGGAGAAGCAGTAGAGGCTGAGCCCTCCCCAACACCAGCCACTGGCCCTTTCTTATCTACTGGACTGGCAGAGAGAGAAACCCAAAGTAGGACCACACAGCCTGTGTCCTGCTCATGGAGTCTGAGGACCAGGCTAGCAGAGCCTGGGGGACCTTGGCTTGGCAGAAGAGGTAGGAAGAAAGGTTAAGGCATGACGGCTGAGTAGATGAACCGCCATGGTGGGGGTCTATTCAGGAACTTGGGCTTGAGAAAGAGCAGAGAAGAAGCCTGCTTCCAGAAGGCAGTGAAGGACCACTTGGGAAAGAACTACTAAGAGTTGGAAGCCAAGGCACACACTGGATGGAGCTGTGCCCAGAGAACAGTGCTCCTCAGAGGAAGCAGTGTCTGACACTGCCACAGCAGAGCAGGGGTCCAGGGCCCAGGGCCCCATTCTCAGGATGCTGGAGCAGAGAAGGAATGAGAGAGGGGTCTATATACAGAGCAGTCACCATAAGGTCCCAATCTATCACTGGGGAGGGTTGCTTGTTGGGAGTTGTTTGTTGGCGACATGGACACACAAGCATCTTGCATAGTAGAGCAAGAGACTCCTTGTTCTGGAGAAGCCTGAAGATGAGCTCATGATGCCTGCCAACTAGCATGTCCCTACAGGATTCTACTGCAGAGCTCAGCTACTTTGCAATGTCTGAACAGCATCTGGAGTAACCAAGGGTGAGCACCAGCACACTGCTGGCTAACCAACACCAGGGCTAGCTCTCTATGAGGGAGGTGGGGCTTGTTCCTCTTCAGGTGCTATCAGGAGAAGACTCATGGAGGAGGCAGCCCTTGGGCACAGTCTATAATGACTAAGGTGAGTCATTGAGATGGAGTCATGGAGGCCCAAAAGGCAACATGGCTAGAGTGGTAGTTCCGGAGCCTTCTTTGGGGCAGCTGGGTAAAGGCTCAGGTTTGGGAAGACAAAGAGATCTCTAGATTAATGGTATAGAGGTGACTGGATCCCAGCCCAGGGGAAGATGAGCAGGAGAGTAACTTGGGAAATGGGATGAGCAGGCCATTTTGGCTTCTTCTCTCCTCTCTTTCTTGACATCCTCCTTTCTTCAACTGGTAAACGTCTACTCATCTCTCAAAGCCTGCTACTTGTAGGCCCTGACTGCCCAGTATCCCAGCACTTGACAACCATACCGCCCCACCAGCAGCAGCTCCCGCTCGCCAGCACTGGGCCGTAGTCGCCGCCAGATATCCATGGTGAAGAGCGTGCTGCTGCTATTGAAGATGGAGGTCAATGACGACATGAGCGCAGCCATCATCACAGCGAGCATCAGTCCCCGAAGACCTGCGGGCAGTGGGCCAGGATGGCTGCTGTGATCCTGTCTGAAGCCCTGGGAGGCCCCACCATCTCAGGTTGAGTTGCCTAGATCCTTCTGAGGGAAGAGAGGGGAGGGAGACTAGTGTGACACTGTAGAATAAGCACTGAACTGCTAACCGCAGGTGGACTGTTCAAACCCATCAGCCACTCCTCAGAAACCCTATACAAAGTAGTTGAGGCGGAACCAATCAGAGGGCACACAACAACAGGGAGACCAAAAGGCAGGAGACTAGGAAGGTCATGGCCACACTGCCTTGGGAACTGCTGCTTGTGCCTGCAGCTTTCTGGCAGGCAGAGTAATCATCATAATTACCAGCAGCCGTTGTTGATGTCAATGTCAACCCTCTCATCTCTAAAGCACTTTGCAGTTGACAACGCACTTTCACAGCCACCACCTCATTTGACAGAAGAGGAAATAGGAGCTCAGAGAGAGGATGAGAGGTGCTCAGGGACTCAGGACTCACAGCAGGCCTTATGGGGCAGGGCACTCTGCTTAGAAGTTAGCCCTGGGCAGGCACGTGCCTCACTAGTCCCCAGTGACTCGGTCTCTCCTGGCATGAGGGACTTCAGCATGCAGAATGAATACCCTTTCTTATTTACCACATTATGGAAGAGGAGATGCATCCCCAGACAGGGAGAAAAAAGTCCAACAATGAGTGACTGGCTGAAAACAAAAGTTCCTACTGTAGAACATGAAATCTAAAGGCTTTTTGCCTGTGAATGAATGACTCCAACCTTTGTTGTTGTTGTTGTTGTTGTTGTTGTTGTTGTTGTTGTTGTTGTTGTTAGGGGCCATCGAGTCGGTACTGACTCATAGTGACCTTATGCACAACAGAATGAAACACTGCTCGACCCTGGGCCAACCTCACAATTGTTGCCATGCTCGAGCCCATCGATTCTGTCACTTTGCCAATCCATCTCGTTGGGGGTCTTCCCCTTTTTCTCTGACCCTCCACCCTACCAAACATGATATCCTTCTCCAGTAACTGGTTCCTCCTGACAATATGTCTGAAGCATGAGAGACAACATTTGGCCATCCAAGCCTCCACAAGTTCCAACACAGATCTGTTGGTTCTTTTGGCAGCCCATGGCACTTCCAATATTCTACTCCAACACCATAACATAAAAGCATCAATTCTTCTACAGTCTTCCTTATTCACTGTCCAGCTTTCATATGCATATGAGGTTATTGAAAATACCACGGCTTGGGTCAGGCACACCTTAGTCCTCAAGCTGACATCTTTGCTCTTCAACACTTTCAAAAAGGTCTTGTGCAACAGATTTGCCTAATGCAATCCATTGTTTGATTTCTTGACTGCTGCTTCCATGAGTGTTGATGATTGATCCAAGAAGAATGAAGTCCTTGACAAGATTCCAACCTAGCAGAGTTTAATTCCATTTTGTGCTTAGGTTTAAATGTTGTTCAGATGGCAATTTTTTCTTGAATACCTCATGTACCTTGGACAACTCAACTGTCAGAAACACAGTATATTTAAAAGTGAGTTTGGAGACAATTTCCTCATGGGAACATTCCTGGACATATTCCTTAAAGGTTGGCTACTTGTGATGCCACACCTACTTGTGATAAGAGCCTCAGAGATGGTCAACTTTCCTATCTGTGATAGTCCCCTCCTTGCTTTCTGTAAGCCTGACATTCGTATGTGATGCATGGCTGCTATCATCAGTCATGGTTGTGAAAGAGATGCTTTTGTTCTCTGTGCCCTATAAACAGTCACCACATGGAGATAGAACTTTGGAAACTCATCATGGTATCTGATTTCCCTCGCCTATGTTTGTCTTTGTCTTGTGCTTTCTCTTGTCTAAGACTTAATAAAGTATCTATACAGTATTTAAAAAGATTGAAGTTGTCAAGGACTTCATTCTTCTTGGATCAACAATCAACACTCATGGAAGCAGCAGTCAAGAAATCAAACGATGTATTGCATCAGACAAATCTGCTGCACAAGACCTTTTGAAAGTGTTGAAGAGCAAAGATGTCAGCTTGAGGACTAAGGTACGCCTGACCCAAGCCATGGTATTTTCAATAACCTCATATGGATGCAAAAGCTGGACCATGAATAAGGAAGACCGTAGAAGAATTGATGCTTTTGAGTTATAGTGTTGGAGGAGAATATTGAAAGTGCCATGGGCTGCCAAAGAACCAATAGATCCGTTTTGGAAGAAGTGCAGCCAGAGTGCTCCTTGGAGGTCAAGATAGCCAAACTTCGTCTTTCATACTTCAGACATATTGTCAGGAGGGACAAGACACTGGAGAAGGATATCATGTTTGGTAAGGTCAAAGAAAAAGAGGAAGACCCCCAATGAGATGGATTGGCCTAGTGGCAGCATCAGTGGACTCATGGCAACAATTGTGAGGTTGGCCCAGGATCAGGCAGTGTTTCGTTCTGCTGTGCATAAGGTCGCTATGGGTCGGTACCAACTCGATGGCACCTAACAACAACAACATGAAGATGGGCTCTCTTTTCTCCCCTGTATCAGTCTTATGGAGGTGGGTGGGAAAGGGACGCTGTACAAGCTTCTGGGAGTAATGGTCTAGAGAGGGGCTGAGGGAAGGGACCAGCTGAAGAAGATGAAGGATCTTGGACTGGGTCCCAGTCTGTCTCCAGTAATTTCTCTTTCAGAATTTCAGCCATTCCTCTGCCCCTACGGATTGCCTGCCCCTTTGCCCCACTCCTCAGCCAGGATAAGCCTGACATGGACCTCCTTCCCCATGGATCCAACTTTGGAGATGCCCACCATTTCCTGGACAAGGCATCTGACTTGCTGTGTGACTCCAGGCATCACACAGGCCTCTCTGTTCACTTTTTTAGATGGATTGGAATAAGGGCCAAGAGAGAATGAGTTATATCCCCCTTTTCCCCAAAATATTTCTCCACCTTCTTTTTCTTGCTCAGGTTGATGGATTGAATCAGTGCTGATTCCACCCATTTCTTAGATGGGGAACTCAAAGCCTAGAGAGGGATTGACTGCTTCAGTGACTGCTGGGTGTCAGTGTTGGAGAAATGGCAAGCCTTGCCAGAACATAAGGGAAAGGTGAGGCCCAGAAGTAAGAAAACCACAGTGATGCCAAGACTTGCACAGGCACTTGTTGAATTTAATCCTAGCAATAACACTGAGGGGTGGATAGGCATCATTATCTCCAATTTATAAATGAGAACACTGAGACCCAAGCAGGGAAGCGATGCACTTCAAATAGCTCCACCAACAAATGGCAGAATCAAGATCTGGTCCCAGCTCCAGGCACTCAGGCCCTGTAGGAGGGAGGAAGAAAGGCAGAGGTGGGGTGGGTTTGGGGAGCGGCCTAAAGCGGAGGCCAGGGAAAAACCAGGGTTGCAAACTCCACGAGGCCTGGAACTGCAGAAGTCTGAGGGTTCCTTCCCTCTTTTTGCTTAGGGTGGGGTCATCCACATACCCTGCCACTTTGTTCCTACTTGAACACTCCCTAAAACAGGAAATTCACCAGCCTAGTAGGCTTGTTGCTGCCATGAGAAACATGGAAAATGCCAAGACTGGGCCCATAATTCTGCCCATAGAACCCAGTAGTGCCTGAGATTTTCAAGGCTGAGGAGCTCTGAAGATACAGGGTGGGGGCACAATTTAAGCCTCTGATCCTCACAGAGCAAGCCATGAACTTTAGAACCAGGCAGACTTAAACTTGAGTCTTAGTTACTCTGTATGGTGGTGGTTATATGCCGTGGAGTTGGTTCTGACTCATAGCGATGCCTGAGTTAATTTCTCTATTTACCTCAGTGGAAAGCTAATGCTTCCAGACAGCACTGAGGAGTTTATAGAAGTGGTGGGACATAGTGAGAGCATAAGCGTAGCCATTTTGCCTGTGAACATGAGTATAGCTGTTTTCAGAACATAACTACTCGGCTTTGTTGTTGTTAGGTGCTGTTGAGTCTGTACCAACTCATAGCGACATTATGCACAACAGAAGGAAACACTGCCTGGTCTTGAACCATTCTCACAATCGTTACTATGCTTGAGCCCATTGCTGCCGCCACTGTGCCAATCCATCTCCTTGGGGTGGGGAGGGTCTTCCTCTTTTTTGCTGACCCTCCACTTTACCAAGCACAATGTCCTTATCCAGGGACTGGTCCCTCATGATGATATGTCCCAAGTATGAGGGACAAAGTCTGGCCATCCTGGCTTATAGGGAGCATTCTGACTGTACTTCTTCCAACACACATTGGTTTGTTCTTTTGGTAGCCCATGGTGCTTTTAATATTCTCCTCTAACACTGTAACGCAAAGGCATCAATTCTTCTACAGTCTTCATTATACACTGTCCAACTTACACATGCATATGAGATTACTGAAAATACCATGTCTTGAGTCAAGCGCATCCTGGGCCTCAAACTGACATCTTTGCTCTTTAACACTTTAAAGAGGTCCTGTGCAGCAGATTTGCCTAAAGCAATACGTCATTTGATTTCTTGACTGCTGCTTCCATGAGTGTTGATGGTTGATCCAAGCAAAACAAAGTGCTTGACAACTTCAGTTCTGCTTTGTTTTTGTTGTTGTTGTTGTTAAATGCCTCTGTAGAGTCAGTTCTGACCCATAGCCACCCCCTATAGGGTTTCTGAGGAGCAGTTGGTGAGCTTGAACCACCCACCTTGCAGTACAAACCGACTTTGCAGTCTAGCACATTAGTCCACAGTGCCCGAAGGGTAAATACAATCAAGTACTGCCTGAAAGCATCTTATACACTACCACCACCACCCATCTTTGTCCTTGTTTCTTCTACATTACACTGGTAATGGTTGCCTAGGCTTGAAGCCTGGTCCCTGTTTGTATGGCTTCTGATAAGAAGTGACTATCTAGGCAAACAGGCACTGAGAGAGTTACTCATGTACTCCCTTTTGATGTGTTTATTGGGACACAGTAACCACCTTGTGAATCAGTGTAAGTGTTACAATGATAAGATTATAGCCCATCTGCATGTTGTACTAATTAACATTGTTAAACAAGTATAAATATTGCTCGTAAAAAAAAATAGTCATTGAGCACCAAACCAGTCTCTTTGCTGTGGGTGCTCCAGCATTCAACTTTCTAAAGATAGTAAGGTCTCCTGGTGTGGTGCTATAGGATCAGCACTGAACTGTGAACCATAAGATCAGCAGTTCAAGTCCACCAGTTGCTCCTCGGAAACCCCATATGCAGAGTTGCTATGAGTAGAAACCAACTTGGACTCAATGGTACTTAACAACAACAATGGTAATAAAGGCTCTTCTCGTTCTTTTTTTATCTGAAGTGTTGCTTAACTGGACTCAGTCATTCTAGGGTATCGGACCCAACCTTGGGGGTCACCATACGAAACATGACAGAAGTATAGACAGCCTTTCTTGAGAAATATTGAAACACAAGATCTGGGGTCAGGCTCTGGGCCCGATTGTTCAAGTCCAAATTTCAGCTGTGTAGTTTACTTGCCATGTGGACCTTAGTCAAAACCAGCATCTTTGGGTCTCATTTTTCCCATCCCTAAAATGAGGATTGGGTTCTTAAGAAGAGTTCATGTAAAGACCTTGACGTCCCTGGGTGATGTAAACAGTTGAGTGCTGGAAAGGTTGGCTGTCTGGACTCACCCAGTAGTGTCTGGAAGGTAAGGCCTGGTAAAGTGCTTCTGAAAGTACTTCGAAAACCATGGGGAGCAAAGTTCTACTCTGCATACATGAGGTTACGAATAGTCGGGATCAACTTAATGGCAACTAAAAACAACAAAGCCCATGGAGCAGGGCCTGAACACAGGGGTGCTGAAGAAGTCATCTTCATTATTATTATTATTATTTTCCTCCAAAGGAGCAGCCCATCCTACTCAAGACCAAGTGTCATATCCAATCCCAGACCCAGAGTGACCTCTGTAGCCTCCAGGGGCCCCCACCCCTTGTTGGGCCCATGATTCTGCATCTCCCCACCCCTCCTGCCAGCAGTGCTGGGCCACTCAGCCTCACCTGTGGGCATCAGTTCTATGACCAGCTTGGGGTAGGCGATATTGGAACAGCCGATCTCAGCCCCACAAGCCCGCAGGCACTCGGAGGGTACCACACAGCCCACATCATCTGCAAGAAAGGAAGGCTTAGAGCCCACACCACAGCACACCACTCCTCCCAACACACAGAGTGTGTTGTCACTGCCCAGACAAATGGCTGGTTGCTGGGCCTCAGTTTCCCAATCTAATCCATGGGGAGCCATTCTGACGCCTCACCCCCTACTCTTTTTTTCTGTCTTGCATCACAAATCCTTCTTCCTATTCCCATGATCCTAAAAGTCCAGGGAGACTCCATTGGAGTGTAGCTCCTTCCAGGTAAGAAATCCCCACTGTACTCTCCTCTTCTTCCACCCAGCCATCCTTCCCATAGGGTAAAACAAAGACCATAGAGAGGCTGTGGCTGGTACTCAGTCTCCTCCTGGTCTTTTCCTGTCACTAAGTCACTGGTCGCTGCACATTGCCAAGCTAGACACAGTGGCTCAAAAGCTGGGCTGCCATCAATGCTGTTTCTTCATGCTTCTGCCTCCATCCCTCAGTCTATCCCTGGCACCCCAGCCAGATTGCGAAGGTAGCTCTGGGATCAGAGCTTTAAACCAGCGGTGTTATCTGGCCTCCAGAGGACTCTCTGAGCCAGCTCATGCCACCTGCTGGCCAGAACCCTCCAGTTATTCCAAATAAACTCCACACTCCTCTCTGTGGCCTATTAGAACCCATGGTCATCCAGGCCTCAGCTGCTCCTTCTATCTCATCTCCTTCCCACCTTGTCATGGTGCTCCAGTGATCCCTTCCATCTCAGGGCCTTTGCACATGCAGTTCCTCTGACTGGTGTACTTCCCCTAGACCACCTCCCCACCTTCCCACCTCCCAAGTTCCCTCAGTCCCCAGCCTCCACACCACTTCTCTTCATCCTTTTCTACCCCTGGAATTGGTCATGCTTACTATTTATTGTCAGTTTATGCACTGGTGGTGGTGGTGGTTGTGGGCCGTAGAGTTGGTTCCAACTCATAGCAACCCTGTATAGGGTTTCCAACACAGTAAATCTTATTGGAGCAGAAAGCCTTATCTTTTTCCCATGGAGTGGCTAGTAGATACGAAGTGCTGACCTTGCGGTAAGCAGCCCCACTCTGGACTCACCATGCTACAGTGCTCAGGTGTGTTGAATGATGAGGGATTAATGAATTTCCTGGGCATCAAACCACACCTATATCCCCAAGTGGACTCTCAGAGCAGCCTCTTTGATGGGCAGCTGGAGCAGAAACCACAGCCTCTCCTTGTTTGGGGCAGTAGCAACCCTGGGCCCATGGGCTTTGCACCGGGGCCCCAACCATCGCCCCATTTCTGGTGCGGCACTGCTCCTGTAGGACCATGCTCTCAGAGTCTGGCTCACAGAACCCCCATGGAAGCAGGCACAGCATATTTTATCCCTGCTCACCAGCAAAATCTAGGAAAATTGAGAGTCAGCCCCAAGCCCAATTATCATCCCATGAAATTGGGATTAACATTCTAAAAGCTGTTGGCATCATTCTCCTGGGATGTCCAGGAGGTGCCACAGAAGGCAACACCAATGACATATGGTAGTGATGGGACAACTAAGCAACAGCCGGCAGTAGGTGTGGGGACACTACAGACCCAGTGGTCCAGCTGGGCCGTGAGGCCACCCATGTCAGGTACTAATGCTCTGTAATTGGGTGCTTTCTGTGCAGACTGAGCACTGCTCATTCAGCCCTGCACCCCTCAGAAAGATTCTCCTGGACCTCAACCCAATGGAGTCTCAGACCCTGCTTCCAAGCCAGAAGCACCATCTACTCACAGACCCACTCCCAGGTTCTGGACTCTGGGCTCCCTGTCACAGGCACTTCCTGCTCAGTGGTCCTAGTCAGGGCTACCCAGTGGTGGTTCCACGCTCTCTCCTCCCTCTTGTCTCTCTTCTCCAGCCAGTCTTTGTGCCCAGGGCTTCACTCCGCCCCCAGTCCAGCTCCAGCAGCTCTTGTGCAGCTCACCACTGGTCCCCTCCATCCTTCCTGGCTGTGGGGCTTTCAGTCATAGTTCTGAATACATTACTGACTTCTCAGGAACAACCTCCCACCCCCATCCCCAGAGTCTGGCTTTCTGGAAAGTCTTTTCCAAGGCATTCAAGGCCCTGGCACCAGCCACCCTGACCTGCTTCTATTCATTGTCTTATCCACACCTCTGACTTACACCTCCATGCCTTTGCATGTTGTGCCATTCCCATTTAACACCCACCTTTATTTGCCTCCTGCTTCAAGGCCCACTGAAAAGGGCTTGTCCTCTAGGCTTTCCCTCTACCCACCCCCAGGCAATAGCAGCTTCCTTCCTAGTCCCACACAGCTAAGGATTGAATCACAGCTGTTTGTTTTCATTTTCTGCCTCCCTCACCAGATCAGAAACCCCTCCCCCACAAGAACAGACAGTGGGTTTGAATCATCCCTGAGTTAAACCAGTATTGTTCAGCTAAGTATTGTCTGAGCACACAGGAGACATTGTGTGAACATTTGCTGTGTAAATGAATGAGTAAGTGAGTGAATGGTGAGGGGGATGGAGGGAAGCACTGGATGAGAGTAGCAAAGGGAGAAAAGATCCCAGAAATCACCATGAAGGAGTTCAGGAACAGTCTGATCTGGATGTCCTACCTAAATAGCTCCACCCCTACCAGTTTTTCAGAGGGAAAAATTTAGGGCCAGAAATGGCATAAGTGTGGGCCAGATAGCAGCAGGGGGCCCTGTGGCAGGACTCAGAGGCCACTGGGGTCCAGCAATTAGAAGACAGGTTTGGGACTTTGGGTCTGGACCATCTGGCTCTGGCTCTTAGAGGACCCAGCCCTCCTGGGAGGGACAGGCTAGTAGTCAGAGTCACATAATGGCTAAGAAAGCCTGAGTCAGTAGATTCTTCCCCAATTTGTTCATCTGGTTCTAGGCCCTCAGCCCTGGCACTGCTGGCCTGCCAGAGAATTTCTGCTGAACAACAAGAAATAATGACCTCTCCTCCCCAGAATGTGCCCAGGGCCAGGGGAGGCAGGGAACCGGGCAAGGGGCTTCTTGATTTGTCAGAACACCAGCTTCTGTAAATCTGACACCTCCACCCTGTCCGCTGGACTACATTGTTGCATCAGTGCCTAACCAGGAGCCCCATCCAGTCCTGGGGGCTGCCCTTCTCCTTGCCCCCAGGTCCTCTATACCACATAGCCACTGAGTGACCACTGTGCTTGACTATAAGGGTGGGGCTATCCCATCTCCTCACTGGTTTCTGTTGCTGACCTGCTTCTTGCTAACCTGCCCACCCTACAAGCCAGCAGAGAGAAGCCCTGCTCTAGTGCTCCCTCCTCAGCAGGAGAAATCACAAGGCCCTTAATGTGCTCTTTAAGGCACTCTGTCACTGTGTCACCACCTCAAGACTTTCAGCCACACCTTTGGTGCCCCAGAATCTCTCTGAAGACACTCCTGGGCTTTTGTGTGTATTGTTCCCTCTCCTGGACCTTCCTTTCCTCCTTCATAAACCCATGAAACTAATATTCATTGTGGACATCTGGGATCTACAGGCCCCTGTGTCCATCTTGCCGTTCCCATCAGACACATAACTGTGCAGCAGGGAAGGCCATGAGTCCCAGCAGTACCCAACACAAGCCAATGCGCAGCAGCCTCTGTCAGTGCTTGTTGAGTGACTGAATTCACTTTTTCCAAGGAGGCCACTGGGCACACCCCCTTAGGGATAGTCATGTACTCCCCCCCCCCACTCCCCAGTCAGGCTTACTTCATCCCTGAGAGCCAGCCCAGGCATGTATGGTTCAAGAGGGGAACAGGAAAAGGGCATAGAACTAGGGTTCAGTCAGCTCTCCCAACCTCTGGCTGTGTGATCTGGGAGATTATTTAAGCTCTGTTTTGTAGAGACCATTCTGGGGACATCCATAAGCAAAAAATAAACCGCACTTAAATTTCATATGTTATACAAACATGAACTCAAAATACCTCACAGATTTAAATATAAAACATAAAACTACCAAACTTAATAGAAAATAATAATAATAAATAGGGAAAAAAACTGTCAGGACCTAAAACTAGGCAGAGAGTTGACACCAATAGCACAGCCCATAAAAAATAAATTGATAAATTAAGCCTCATCAGAATTTACAACATTTGTTTTTCCTAAGACCTTATGCAGAGGAGGAAAAGACAAACTACAGACTAGGAGAAAATGTCTTCAAACTACATAAGGGACAAAGACTTTGTATCCAGAATAGATAAAGATCGCTCAAGACTCAGTAAAAAATTCAACAACGCAATTAGAAAATGGGCAAAAGACATGGAGTGACATTTCACTGAAAAAACATATGCTGTTTTTGTTAAGTGCCATCGAGTTGGTTCTGACTCATAGCGACCCTGTATAGGATTTCTGAGGAGTAGCTGGTGAGCTTGAACTGCCAAACTTGCAGTTCAAACTGACGTTACGGTCCAATGCATTAATCCACAGCACCACACAAGCACATGAAAAAATGTTCAATGTAGTTGTTGTTAAGTGCCACGGAGTCAGTTCTGACTCATAGTGACCCTGAATTCCCAAGAAGCAGCTGGTGGGTTTGAACTACCAACCTTTCAGTTAGTAGTCCAGTATTTATCCTACAGCACCTCATCAGGTCTCCTCAATGTCATTAGCCATCAGGATAATGCAAATTCAAACTACGAGATTATTATTACATACCTATCAAAATGACTAAAATAAAAATTAGTAACAACACCAAGGAATGATGATAAAGATGCAAAGAAATTGGACCACTCCTACATTGTTGGTAGAACTATAAAATGGTACAGACACATTGGAAACATTTGGCAGTTTCATAATAAACTAAACATGCAAGTATTCTATGACCTGGGATGGTACTCTTTTGCTGGACACAAAAATCTGTACATGAATAGTAATAGAATTATTTGTATTAGTCCAAAACTGGGGGGAAAAAAAAAATGTCTTTCACTAGGTAAGTGGATAAAGCAAGTGCTACGTCCACACTAAGAATATTAAACCAGTTGCCATTGGGTTGGTTCCAATTCCTTATGACCCCACGTGTTACAGTGGAACTACTCTGTTTTCTTGCCTGTGATCTTTATAGAATCAAAAATTTCTTCCATGGTTAAACCACCATACTTAAGGTAAGTTGTTGTTTTATTGTTAAATGCCATCAGTTCTGACTCATGGTGACCCTATATAAGGTTTCCTAGGAGAAGCTAGTTGGTTTGAACCATCAACCTTACAACACCAAATAGGATTCCTCTTCTTTGGGAGGCCTGGGATATGGCCAGCCCTGGGGATCTGTCCACCACTGACAATAGCCACCACTACAGCAAGACTAGGTGAGAGGCAAAGGCCCCCTCCTGCATTGGCAGAGGCAGGTTCAGCTTGCCCAAGGTCAACTCCTACATGCCCCCTGCCAGGCATAGAACCAGTAGGGACATCCTTCACAGGGTTGCCCCATCCTGCCCCTCCACCCATGTCCCATGGCCCTGAGACCCAACAGAAAGTCTAGCAATCAAGTACAAACCAATTTTGCCATTAAAGGCCCTCCGTGAAAAAGACAACAAACTATTGAAACATGCAACAACCTGGATGAATCACCAAAGAATAATGCTGAATGACAAAAGTAAATTTCAAATGGTAGTTATCGTTAGCAGCCATCTAGCCATCCCAGACTCAGGGCGACCCCATACACAATGAGACTGAACTGACCAGGCATTTCTTCCTAGACATCTTAGTCTGTAAACACAGCTCAAACCTGTTTAGCATCATAGCAACAGGCAAACCTCACTGGCAGATATGTGTCAGCTGCACATGAAGTGCCTTGGCCAGGAGTAGAACCCAGAATCCCTGCATGGAAGGTGCAAATTCTACCACTGACCCCCATTCCCAAAGGCTACATACGGAATGTCCTATTGAGAGAGCATTCTTTCAATTCGACTAATGAAGAACAGGGAGGGCAGATGGAGGTCTGCCTATAAAGAGGTAGCAGAAAGGAGACCTCTGCGGTGCTGAAATAGTTCTGCATCCTGAGTATGACACTGGTGACACAAATGTGTTGTTGCTGTTGCTGGGTGCTGGCGAATTGCTACCAACTCATAGCGACCTGATACACAGCAGAATGAAACCCTGCATGGTCCTATGCCAACCTCACAATCCTTGCTACACTTGATCTCACTGCTACTGCCACTGTGTCAACCCATCTTTATGCTGACTTTCCACTTTACCAAGTATACTGTCCTTCTCCAGGGACTGGTCCCTCCTGATACTATGTCCAAAGTATCAAAGATAAAGTCTGGCCATCCTGGCTTCTAGGGAGCATTCTGGCTACATACACACACATAACACAGATTGGTTTGTTCTTTGGCCATCCATGGTCCTTTTGATATTCTTCTTCAACACCATAATTCAAATGCATCAATTCTTTTACAGTCTTCTTAATTCATTGTCTATCTTTCACACGTGTATGAGGTTATTGAAAATACTATGGCTTGGGTCAGGTGCATCTTAGTCCTCAAACTGACATCTTTGCTCTTTAACACTTTAAAGAGGTCTTGTGCAGCAGATTTATCTAATGTAATATGTCATTTGATTTCTTGAGTGCTTTGTTAGATGGTTTGATCTGAGTAAAATTAAGTCTTTGACAACTTCAATCTTTTCTCCATTTATATGGATTTTATTTATTGGTTCAGCAGTGAGAATTTTTGTTATCTTTACATTGAGGTGCAAAGGCTGTGGTCTTTGATCTTCATCAGTATTTTAAGTCCCCTTCACTTTCAGCAAGCAAGGTTGTATCATCTGCATATGGTAGGTTGTTGATGAGTCTTCCTCCAATCCTAATGCCACGTTCTTCTTCATATAATCCAACTTCTCGGATTATTTGCTCAGCATACAGATTGAATAAGTATGGTGAAAGAATACAACCTTGTCGCACACCTTTTTTAATTTTAAACCATTCAGTGTTCCCTTATTCTGTCCGAACCTCTTGGTCTATGTACAGGTTCTTCATGAGTACAATTTAGTGTTCTGGAATACTTGTTCTCCACAATGTTGTCCACAGCTTTCTGGTATTCTCTGCTTTCAGTCGAGATCCATCTGATGTCAGCAATAATATCCCTCATTGCATATCCTCTTCTCAGTCTGGCCTGAACCTCTGGCAGCTCCCTATCAATATACTGCTACAGCTGTTTTAAAATTATCTTTAGCAAAATTTTCCTTGCATGTGATATTAATGATATTGTCTGATGATTTCCACATTCCATTTGGGATGGGCACAAATATGGATCTCTTCCAATCAGTTGTCTTCCAATTTTCCTGGAATAGATGAGTGAGTGCCTCCAGTGCCGCCTTACTTTGTTGAAAGATTTCTGAAAGATTTCAACTTGTATTCCATCAATTCCTGGTGGCTTGTTCTTTGCCAATGCCTTCAATGCACATTGGACTTCTTCCTGCAGTATCATTGGCTACCTCTTGAAATGGTTAAGCATCGACCATTTATTTTTTTCTTCACATGTATACATGTGAAAATGATACAGAACAATACACACGTGAGTGTGTGTAAACTGATGTTATCTTAGTACGCTTCATGGGTTATACTACCATCAGTTTCCTGGCTGTCACATTATACTGTAGCCATGCAAGAGACTGAGTAAAGTGGTATGTAGGACCTCGCTGTTCTTTTTTTGTTTTGTTTTTTGTAACTTTCTGTGAATCTGTAATTATTGGCAGATAACTGCAGAGGTCAACACGTCAGGGCCCTTTCAGCCCTGGGAGCCAAGACTTTCTTTGCTGTAGGACTCCCTGCAGTGGTGAGAACAAAAGAAAAACTGAGGCTTAGTGAGGGTCTTGCCTGCCCTGGATCCATAGTGGCCGAAGAGGCTATGAATGAAGCTGCAGAACTCCCAGTCTGGGGCTCACCTTCCACAATCGACTCTCCTTTGGCCATGAACAGGGGAGAATGCACGAATATACCTTGCTGGGTTAGGGAGAAGGGGGGTGGTGAGGAAGGTGCTATTGGCTTGAGGCTTAAGAGGTCAGTGACGAGGGTCACAGGAGTCCTGGAGAGGTAGATCAGACACATAGGAGGCCTAAAGATGTCGATAACACAAAGCTGTGTTCTTGGCCCCTTTTCTCCCCCTAATTCAGGGGTAGGTAGGGGGTGAGAGGAAAGGGATGGCCAAGCCCTGGCAGGTGGCTGAGGCACGCGAAGACAGGGTGGGGGCCACTTGAGGTATAATGGGCTTTGCTGTCCCCGCCCTGGCAGTCTGCCCTTAGATGTGGCCCACACACCCACTATAACTAGGGTTCCAAGCCCTTCAGAAGCGGGGCAGAGAGTTGGGCCTGTCCCCATCCGGGGTTCAGGTGGGACTGTGCTCAGCAGTGTAGGTGATCCCGCCCAGCACAGCCTACTTAGTGAAGACGCCTGAAATGGTGTCCTTGTCCTGCCAGCCTAGAGCCCCAGCCTAGAGCCCCATCCTGCTTGCACAGATGGTTATCCTTAGTTCTCAAAGACTTCCAGGGTCACCAGCAGGGCTTGGGGCTGTGTGACCTCCGGGAGAACAGTCCCTCTTTGGACCGAACAGTCCCTCTTTGGACCGCTTGGTTGCCAGGAGCTCTTGCCCTTCACCCCTCAGGGGCCGCGGTGGATTGGCGGCGCGCCCCACCCGACGTCAGAGTGTATCTGTTGAGGGTGAATCAGCTTCCGGCCCCGCCCTGGCAGCACGTGATCGCAGGTGGCGGGCTGGACGGACGCCCCTGAGTCACCCCGCCTCTGTGCCCCAGGCCACCACTCCGCCTGCCACTGCGACCCTGGGCCTCGCCGCTGCCCTCTCGACCCAGACCTCTACCTCTACTGAAGCCGGTTGCTGACCCCTTGCGCCCTGCGTTTAAAGCCCCTCCCTTCCTCCAGCCACCAGAATGCAGGACACTCCAGAGCAGCAAACCCCGCAGGGACTCCTGCCTCCCAGCTTCGGGAACTTTTGAACAGTTAGGAGCTTATCGTGGTGCTGCCAGAAGTCGTTTAGGAGTTCGGACGCTTCCAGACAGCCCCTGGACAGCGCTCCCCAACAGACCCAGGTACTCTGGCTCCTGGGCGTGCCGGCCCCATTCCTCAGCCCCGCCCCGTCCCGTCCCGTCCCGGACTCCTTCCGCCCTGGGCCCCGCCCGGCCACACGCCCTCTGCCCTGCTCGGCTCACCGGTTCTTCCTACGCAGGCTCCATGGACGGAGTCGCAGAAGCGGCTAGGCTCCGCAGCGTGCCGTACTCCCAGGCAAGTGCCCGGAACTAGGATCCCACCCACCGGGCTTTCCCTTACCCTGCTCACCCCTCGCAGAAGCGCCGGGCAGGTGCCACCATGGCCTTCTCCCAGGTACAATGTCTGGACGACAGCCACGTGAACTGGCGCTCCAGCGAGTCCAAGCCCGAATTCTTCTACAGCGAGGAGCAGCGACTGGCGCTGGAGGCGCTTGCAGCGCGCGGCCCCGAAGCCTTCCACGAAGTACTGAAGCGGGAAAACATCCGCGACTTCCTCTCGGAGTTGGAGCTCCAGCGCATCCTGGAGACCATCGAGGTGTACGACCCTGGATCCGAGGACCCACGGGACGTGGGCGGGCTCCGGGGACCCGAGGACGCTGGCGGTGAGGGCGAGGGCACCAGCGGAGCCGACGGTGCTGCCCCCACCGAGACCGAGCTGCTTCCCTCACTGGAATACTGGCCCCAGAAGTCGGACCGCTCCATCCCCCAGCTGGACTTGGGCTGGCCGGACACCATTGCCTACCGCGGTGTGACACGGGCCAGCGTCTACATGCAACCCCCCATCGACGGGCAGACCCACATAAAGGAGGTTGTGCGCAAGATGATCAGCCAGGCCCAGAAGGTGAGCGAGCGCTGGACCAGCCGTCTAGCCCCCAGACTCTCCATCCCTGCCTCAGCACACGTTCGTTCAGAGCCCAACACTGGCCCCCAAAACTGTGCCTGAGGCCCCCAGGGGCTTCGTGGAGAAAGGTTCCTCTCTGCTTTTATGGGCTCCTCAGTTTTTTTGCAGAGAGAGAGGGTGCTTGAAGGTGCTGCAGTTGTGTGGACTCTTCCATCTCCGTTGGGATGGCTGGGATTCGCCCCCTGAGAAACAGGAGTCTCACACACCTGAGATCTCTAGTATTGCTTCTGTTGTTGCTTCTGTTAGTGGGGGGGTTGTTGTTGTTCAGTGAAGTTGAGTTAGTGCTGACTCCTAGTGACCCTGTATAGGATTTCTAAAGAGTGGATTTGCATCACTGACATTCAGTTAGCAGTCCAGTGTTACAGCGCCATACCCAGACTTCAGGAGTAGTCATGGAGATTGAGAAGAGGGCTGAGTCCATCTGAGGCTGGCCTAGAGGTCCAAGTTTAAATTTGGTCCTTCCTTGGCGGCACTGGGTGACTGAGAGCCAGTTGCTCACCATCGCTGAGCTTTTCCGTGAACTGAGCAACAACAGGGTCTTTGCAGGGAGGGATGCAGGGTGCAAGTGGTCCTCAGCAATGGAAGTGGTGGGAGTGCAACCAGATATTTTCCACCTGGGTTGAGTTTCATCTCTGAGCGCTAACTCAATGAAGGACAGTCTGGACCCCTACTTCAAGACCCATGCTAGACTGTGAGGGATATGCCACAATGCCCTGAATGTGGGGGGCCACCCTGACACTAACAACCTGACACACATTCTGTGACAGGCTGCTCACCACTTTCAGGGACAGCCAGACTGAGTGCCTCTTTTGCAGAGCTGTGTCTTTCCGCGGTGTCATGTTTTCAAAATTCATCTGTGTTTAAAAGGATTGAAGCCTTGCTACAGAGTGGTGATTGATTAGCAATTGTCTGTCCTGGCCTGGGGGTCTGTGGGCTAGGTATTCCCAGCAGAATCTTACCATTCTCTATCACTTCACCACCAGGGGGAAAACAGGCCCAGAAAGATACAGCCACTTGCTGCATGGCCCACCCTTGCTGACTAACAGGGCCTGGGAGAGCTCTTGGGTAGAGAAACCACAAGTGGGTCAGGAACTGACAAGGTGGCCACAGCTGAAGTTTCTGGAAAGGCCAAGTCCCTGTCCCAAAAGGCACCAGATGAGTTAGATTGCCCAGATTAGGGAGCCTGGGTCTCAGCCTGCCTCTCTCCCAACTTACTGGCCAACTCCAGGCAACTTTGGGGCATCATTATTCTGGTCTGTAAAATGGAGGTGATGAAGACAAAAGCTGTGTCTTTGAGATGTTGTGAAGATGTAGTCAGGTGACGAGAAAGAGGAGGAGAAGGAGGAAGAAAGGACTTTCATCGTTTTCAGGTTGCATAACCTTCCCCACACCTGCTGCCACGGGGTAGGAAGGCACTGCTAATGTTGGGATTTGGTGAGGGATGGCTCTGGCTTGAGGTAGGAGGACCCAGTCCCCTGGGAAGACATGGTGGGATCCCATCATCTAGCCTCCACCCCAGTTTTTAAAATGGGGAAACTGAGGCCCTCACAGGGGGCCAGGCCTTACCCTCCACAGTCCTCCTCCCTAGCAGCAGCAGAAAGGAGGCAGACAGTAGTTTGGCATGGGAACAGTGGAAGAGGAAGGGTCTACTCCCCTAGATGGAAAGACAGAAGGCCTGGCCTAATGATGGAGCCAGCTAGGTGTGCCTGGAGCCAGCCAGACTGCATCCTGGTAGCCATCCCCTGCTGCCTCCTCCCACACCTCTGGTCAGAGCTGAGGCCTAGCTGCCTCGTGCAGCCCCTTGGGACCCCCCTAACCTAATTTACATCCCACAAAAGCCCCACAAGGTTATCAGTGTCATCTGCCTAAGTTACATAACCAGGAGAAGTAGATCCTGGATTTAAATGCAGGTCTGCTGAGACCCTCAGCCAGTCACTTCCCTTCCCTGATCTCTACCTCTCAGGAGGACAGGGGCTCACTATTCGAAACTGTTCCCTGCATTGGACATCATGTTGGGAAGGCCAGAAAACCTGGTAAAATCGGGATGGCTTGAAGGGGATGGAGGCCAGGCCGCTCCTCTTACAAATGAGGGAATTAAGGCACCGGGGAATGTGTTCAAGAGCGCTGGCCTGTTAGTGAGTCAGGCCCTCATACCTACCCCAGGACCTATGGAGGCCTATGGCTGCCATTGTGTGTGAGTGGGAGGCTCTAATAACACTAGCTGCTGTTTACTGAGTGCTCGAGACTTTATAATCTCAGGAGGCATTATCTGCCCCATTTTCAGAGGTAAAAACTGAGGCCCAACTGGTTAGTCCTTGCCCAAAGGGCACCCAGCTCATTCCTGGGTGGAGGGGCAGGAGCCAGCCTGTGCTGCCCCCAGACTCTGGGTCTGGTCTCGACTACCCAGCGTCTGGCAGGATCCAGCAGTAGGCAGGGCTGGGGAGGGTCATCTGGTCCAGGCTGCCTACAGTCAAGCCAGCTGCCCTCTCTGGCTGCTTCCTGGGCTGCAGGGTCAGACCAAGACCCTGACGAATGATGACAAGGTGCTTTGCCTGCCTCCCTGCTGGCTGGGAGCTTACCTCTTCTTCTTCATCACCTCTCATTCCACTTCCTCATCCCTCCTCAAGTTCCCATTACCAGTGCAGTGAGAACATCTCCCCTGTGCCCTACAATGGGGGATCCACTGTGTAGGCCCCTGTCCTGGAGTGTTGGGCTAACTGCCAGCTCCTCACCCTGCCCTGTGTCAGTAAGACAGGAAGACCCTGGGGCAGGGAAGTGACACAGCACCTCTCAGCCACGCCAATTCAGCTGCTGGGAGGGGCTGTCTTCCCATAAGGACTGACACCAGCCTAAAAGACTCCAAATAATGGACATAAGTTCAAAGATCCAAGAGTGCTGGGGTCAGCTCATTGCTTGGCCCTTACCTTGCTGTATGACCTAGAACTGTGGTCATCCGATCTGTACAATGGGTGCAGGCATTAGAGACTTTGAAGGGTCCCTTCCATGCTGACATCCAGCTGCACTGTGGCCTAGATTTATCTGAGACCAGTGTGAACCTTAAGGCCAGCAGTTCGAAACTACCAGCCGTTCCGTGGGAGAAAGATGAGGCTTTCTGCTCCCGTAAAGATTTACAGCCTCGGAAACCCTGTACAGGGTCGCTATGGGTCGGAACCGACTCGAAGGCACTTAACAACAACAACAAGGTATGGGTGGGTCCTGAGTCTGACACCAACTGGCTGTGTTGCCTTAAGCAGTCAGCTCAACATCTCTGAGCCACCAGCCAGCCATAGTGCCTCCAGCTCTCTGAGACTGAGACAGAAGGCCACTGCATGCCTGAACCAGACTCCTTGTCCAGTTAGTGCTGGATGCCTCCCCTCCCCCAGCCCCTGGGAGCTAGTGATTTATCTGGGGAAAAACCTGCTAGGGGGTTCCAGCAGCATACCAGAGGCTGGGCCTGTAACATCACGCCTGGGAGCGCTGTGCCTGGTCTCACTCCTGTAGCAGCCTCTGACAAAGAGAGAGGTGAAGCTAGGCTAAGGAGGGCCTGCCATAGCAGGAAAAGGGTAAAGCTGTCCCAGCAGGAGCTTTTCCCTCAGATACTGAGACTCTCCCCCAACATGGACCAGAACTCAGATATCATGCTACTCTGGGTGTCCTGGGCATCGACACCCAGAGGAATGTTTCTGACCCAAGGCCACATAGCCAGAAAGAGCTTTCAAACCTAAGCTCACAGGGCCATTGAGCCTTGTCTTTCCTATCAGGCCCCTGCCTTCACACACTGACACCCTGGCTGGTGGCGTGGCTGCAGGAAAATAAAAGCAGCTTAATGAGACATTTATTAAATGCCAGCTATATATGCCAGGTGCTGATCAGGCGCTTTCCCTGCATTGCTGAATCCTCATAACAACTTTATAAAGTAGCTATTGTCTCCATTGTGCTGATGAGGACATTGAGCCCTGGTGGGGCTCAGAGAGGGTGGATAACTCATCTGAGGTCAGACAGATGAAAACTGGAAGCGCCTGGAGCAGAACTCAGGTTTACAGGCCCTGGAGAAGCACCTCCGGAGCCCTGTGTTTGAATGCAGCCTCCTTGACACTTCCTGAACTCAGCCAGAAGCATCACAGTAAAAGCCTTTTCACCAGGCTCCTGTCCCCACTAGGCATCCAGACGCCAGGAGTTCTGATAGGGAGAAGTTGAGGGGGCTCTCACTCCACCCCTCCACCAACAGTCCAGGACAGCCCCCAGTAGCATGAGAGGTCCAAGAGGTGGCCCAGTCAACTGTCCCCAAGTGCAGAGCCCACAAGGGTTGTGCAGACCACAGCACAGGATGGGAGTTGCCTCAGCCTGCCCTGACAGTGCCCATCCCTAGCCCCAGGCCCTCACCAGTCTGGGTGGGAACCCTCCTCCGATAACATCATCCCATCCCAAGCTGACTCTTGCCTCCAAAGGCTTCCTACTTGATGGTGTTTGCATCTTAGTGGAGAGTTTTAGGGAGAGTGGGGTGGCCGCCCTGCCAGGGAAACATCTGCTCCTTTGCTTCTAGTGACTGGTGGAAGAGGCAGGTGAGTCATGCCCTACAGCCTGGCAGGCCATCCTGTGTGAGTCCAAATGTCTGTAGCGCTCAGGGCCTCACCAGCAGGACTGAGCTTCACTCTTGCTCATCTAGCTCTGGCTATCTGGCATTCTCAGTTTGCTTTTTTGAGATAGCTCCTCCTTCCTCAGTGTACAGGTAAGGTTAATGCCTGCCTCACAACCTTCTGATGAGGTTTAAATTCAAAAACAAAACAAAACAGGTCTCTCAAGCACTCAGCATGACATCCCACACATAGCTGGCATTCAGTGATGCCAACTCTCATCCTCTCTCTCTGCATCCTCGTCCCTTACTGGGAGCCTTTCGGGAAGTACTCTGGGTTGCCAAATGCTGAGTCCCATGTCCTGGG